GCTTACACTCCAAATGAGTTAATGCAAAATAATTACAGCCCCGGGTGTAAATCCAACTGCCTGCATAAATTAGAATTCTAATTCTAATAAACATGTACCAACATGTACCAACCAGGTATGGGGGGGGGGGATATTCACCTTTATTTTAGCTACCGTACTTTTGTTATTTGCATGCTGTTTACAAGCAACTTGCCTAACAAGGACTTGAGAACAGCAGCAAAAACCAGCCTACGAACCTTGCGTCTTGAGTAAGGAAAGCCATTTTTAGTTCAAACACAACCATTGATCAAGTTCTCAATGAGCAAGACTTTGACCTCTAAATAAACAGAAGCCACACACCTCAACTCAATCCAATTATAAGGAGAAATAGGTACACCTGTTGAACAGCTTGTCTTTATGCTTCAAGCCCAGCCCTTTTTACCCAACATTCCTTATGGCTGCTACCCCAGCCCCCTTTAAGCTATATAAAGGAAGAAGAAGAGTGCTTACATCTATAGCCAATGATTTGCTCCTTGCTTACTGGTTGGGAAGGGGAAGATTACTATAGGATGCTACCTTATACCAAGTCAGAATGGCGAGGTCCATTTAAATCAGCCTTTTCTATACCAACTAGTAGCAGGGAACAGGATTTCAGGTGGATTCTCTCCCAATCCTGGCAGGAGATCCCACAGATTGAACCCGAGACCAACTGTATGGAAAGCAGTTTCTAGACAATAGAGCCGCATTCCTTCCTTGGACTGGTAAGTCGTTACAACTGTATAGGACTCTGAAGTTCATCACAATCTAGGGATTGAGTATTTTTGCAAACTAGCTATCTGCTATGCAGAAAGCTGCTTCTCTTTCATAATAGCCCCAAGCTTACTTTTTTAAGTCCCTGGGGTTTCAGAGGGGTTTATTTCCAAGGAAATGTGTATAACTCCCATCCACACCAAACATTTAAAGCACTATGATGCCACTTTTAAGCAGTCATGACTTCCCCCAAGAATCCTAAAAAGTGTAGTTTAAGAGTGCTGAGAGTTCTTAGGAGGCCCCTATTTTCCTTCACAAGGGATGTGGGTTAAACCACAGAGCCTAGGACTTGCCGATCAGAAGGTCGGCGGTTCGAATCCCCATGATGCGGTAAGCTCCCATTGCTCGGTCCCTGCTCCTGCCAACCTAGCAGCTCGAAAGCACGTCAAAGTGCAAGTAGATAAACAGGTACCACTCCGGTGGGAAGGTAAATGATGTTTCCATGCGCTGCTCTGGTTTGCCAGAAGCGGCTTAGTCGTGTCGGCCACATGACCCGGAAGCTGTACGCTGGCTCCCTCGACCAATAAAGTGAGATGAGCGCCGCAACCCCAGAGTCGGCCACGACTGGACCTAATGTTCAGGGGTCCCTTTACCTTTACTAGAAGACGGGCTGCAGGACCCAAGGGACAAGGGCTCCACTCCACAGAAGGGTCTTACAAAGGAGAAGTTCTGTCTGAATGCATGAAGTCCCCCAAAGCGTAAAGGTGTCCTGAGGATAGAAGCAACCATACAAGGGCCCCAGACCCGTAACTCAAACCGTGAAGACAAGTCTCTTCAGTGGTGCCTGGTGCCCATTAGGACTGATAGAGTAGACAACAGGGAGCCCAACAAATATAGCCAATGACAGGCAGAGCCAACTAGTTGTATCCCCATTCTCCCTGCTGAATTCCATAGGGGCAGCACTATTTTAGACTGGGGTGGAAGCTTTTATGTAAACAAAATGAAACAAAACTACCACTCAGTGAAGGAATGAGCAAATTGCAAGGTAGTGGTTACCTCCCCATATGAATACTGACCTTAAATGCTCCTGTTCTTCCCCATGGAGTATTATTAATGACTACAGCTGAGCATTAGGTGTGTTTTTTACCCCTCACCTGACTGGAGACATCTCCCTTACAAAAAAAATTGCGGAGTCTCCTATGCCCCCTTCCTTGTTGAGGTGGCTGTCAATGGCATATAAAAAAGATTTGCAGTGTGTCAGGGTTTGTGTAGTATTATCTGTCCTCCCCAAATGCTTGCTTGCTTTTATTGTAGTTTGTTTTCCCCACCCCACTCCCCCATTTAGCTAGCTCCAGTATCTGCAATGGTTAGCTTGACGTCTTCTGAAACAAATGTGCCACTCAATACAGATGGCAAGGCGAGGAGGTTGTTACTTCTCTTCCCCCCACCCCAACATTTTAAATGTCTCCTTTATTGCAGAGGAGGGTGGGTGTAATCTTGACAATTCTCCCCATGAGGAAGGGAAGGAAAAGGGTAGTATTTCTCTCCCAGTTTCAGACACCTCTGTTATAGCAAAAAATTGCAATGGGTAGCTTGGTGTGGGTATCATCACCTCCATAGGATTTATTTTTTTTGCAAAGAATTTATTCTTCTAAATACCAGTTATCACCAATATTGTAGGCTGGGGGGGGGGTGTTTTGCTTTTACTCTCTTCTCCCCCTGCTCGCTTTTGTATTTTCTCAAATTGCAGCTAAATAAAAGAGGCAGGATTCTTCTCATTCTGCAATTCTGTAAGATCTACTTGGCTCCCGCAGCAATAAAACTGGTAGCACATTTGCAAAGCTAAGCAGTGTCAGTTATGGTTTCAAACTGGATGGGGAACGAGTTGAGATTCCTGCATTACAGGGGGTTGGACTTGATGACCCCTGGGAACCCTTCCAGCTCTACAATTCTGATTCCACTGACAGTGGTGTCCTCAGGGCAGGACACGGTGGGGCAGAAATCCAAGCTGCCCCCCCCCCACAGCAGAGTAAGTAGGAGGGCCTCTCAATGGCCACACACCTATTGAAGCCAGTGAAAAGTCCAGGGTCCGCCTCCCCTGTAAAGACCCTCACAAGTGCAAAAGTCTAAAATGACTTAACTGTCCTCTGAGTTCAGTGGGATTAAGACTCTCCGGTTAAGTGACGGCAGCCTGGGATCCTTCCAAGAATTGCAAGATGAAGGAAATGATTGCCATGAGGAAGCTACAGAGATTGCAAAGGGGGTTCAAAGTGTGTGTGTGTGCGTGTGTAGCTTGACACTTTCCTTAATTCTTTCCCCTCTCCTAACGTGTTTTTTTTTGGGGGGGGGTTTCAATTTCCAGGAATTGCACGATTTTGCTTGCCTTCCCCTTTTGGATACAGAAACGATTGCAACCAGGGAGGATGCAGAAATGCTAAAGGCAAGAGGGGTGTGTTTTGTGTGTGTGCGCTTGCCCTCCCCTCTTTTCACCCTCTTTCCCCAACCTGGGGGGGGGCACACACCAATTACCATTTCTCTTTTACCTCCCCCCCCTCCGCCTTTTGACGCGGGTCCTCTTAACCTTTCCTCCCCTCCCCTCCTTGGGGAGTTGGTAAGGTCAGCGAGAGAGCGAGAGCCCGGGAGGTTTGTTGGAGGGGAGTTGCATTGGGGGGGCGGGGGCGGCGGCGGGTTGGAGAGAGAGGGAGTGCGTGCGTGCGAGTAGGAAGCGAGCGCGCGCGTGAGAGACACACACAGAGAGAACGAGCGAGGAGAGAGAAGCCGCCGGCTCGGGGCCTGCGCCGGGGAATGACGCGCAGCTGGCAGCCCTGCTCATGCGCGGCCGGCCGGGCGGTGCTTAAAGCCTGAGCCTGCTCGGGAGGTGGGGTGGGGTGGGTGGGGGGAGAAGAAGAGGAGGAAAAAAAAAAAAAAGAGGAGCGAGAGGGAGAATGAGAATGGGGCGGAATGCGAGCAGGAGAAGCTTGAGGGAGAGCAGCGAGAGCAGCAGCAGCAGCAGCAGCCGGCGCCGCGGCGCAGCAGCCTGAGAGAGAAAGAGAAGCGGGCGCGCGAGGGAAGGAGGAGGAGGCGGCGGAGAGGCAGGCGCAGCTTCTCCGGGTGACAAGGCAGGCAGGCGGGCAGGGCGGCTGCTGCTGCTGCTGGTGGCGGCGGCGGAGGGAGGAGGAGGAGGAGGAGGAGGAGGAGGGTGGCCGGCTTAGGGAGGCGGGCAGGGCGGAGAGGCTCGCCGGCCGCGGGTGGGAAAGTTGGGGAAGGAGGGGAGCAGCCGGGCCCGGCTGTAGGAGGAGGGGGCGGCGAGCTGAAGGGGGGCGGCGGCGGCGGCGGCGGCAGGAGGAGGATCAGCAGCAGCAGCAGCAGCAGCAGCCGCCGAAGAGGAGGAGGAGGAGGCGGAGGCTGCGCCAGGGAATTTCTCTTCGCCTTCCTCGCAACAAAGTTGCGGCGCGCGCGCGAGCGCGGGATCCGGAACCCTCTTGTTGCCATTTTCGTCTCTCGGCAGGATTCGAACCCGGGGCGGGGCGCTGCTTGCCCCGGGGCGGGAGGGAGTTAAAAAAAAAAAGAGGGGGGAGGAGAAGGGGGGAGGGTTCGTCGCGGAGGAGCAGCCGCCGCCGCCACTACCACCACCACCACCACCGCTGCTTCTGTTTCTTCACATCGGCTCTGCTGGTGTCCTGGATTTATTATTTTCCTTTTCCCAAGCCTGGATTCGACCTCCTGGATTTGTCTCTTGTGTTTCAGTTTTTTGGGGGGTGATTTTTTTTTTAATAATTTTTTTTTTTTTGGACGGGGTGTGTGTGAGTGTGGGGGTAAGCTTGGCTCTTTCTCTCTCCCACCAGATCCGAACTGGAGATCAGTTGCACTGTTTGGCTGCGTGGCTTACCTCTCTTTAATTTTTAATTTTATTTTTGCAAGGGAGGGGGAAAAGATTTGTCAAGGTCACTTCGTCTGGATTTACATTTTTCTTTTCTTCTGGATCTCTTTTAATTCCCCCCACCCACCCCCTTCTTCCTCCTCTGCCCTCCATCGGATCACCCTTTCCTTTCCACAGAGGTCTGCTAGATTACATTTCTCTCTTCTACCCCCCCCGCCCCACCTCCCGCCCCCTTCCTTTGGATTTTATAAGCCTGAAGGAGAAGAGAAAAGAGAGAGAGAGAGGCTGGATTATATTAGGGTGGCATTTTAGAGAGAAAAGACGCACCACACTTCGATCTGAAATAAATTTTTGAGGTGGTTTTTTGTGTGTTTGTTTTTGCTTCTTTGAAATGGATGGGAAAATCAGACAGAGCAGGAAATCTCGGTCCCAAAGGGACCGCGTGAGGCGAAGGGATCCAAATGGCAGGGACCGCCCGAATCAGAGCCCTTCCTCGGCATCCGAGAGAGAGCACAGCCCGGGCAAGGAGAATACCAGCCAGAATTGCCCAAATCCTAAGAGCCAGGCTTCTGCAGCCCGGAACGCCAGACCTCCGAGGCGGAGGAGGCGAGAATCCAGCTCTCAGGAAGAGGATTTAATTGATGGATTTGCGATCGCCAGCTTCAGCACGATGGAAGCCTTGGAGGTAAGGATCAGAACGGGTTGCTCTCTTTTCATGGGCTTATGTTATAGGGATTTGGGGGTGGGGAGAGAGTGAGGGAAGAGCTTGGGGTGTATCTGTTGGGTTTGGCTGGATCCAGCCATCCACCCCCTCCCCTTTTTGCTTCCTTGTCAATATCAATTAACTTCTGGCACATGAGCGATGAGTATTCAAGCCTGGAGGAATAAAAGGCAAGAGGCGTTGTTGGGTGTGGAAGCCTGTGCCTTTTTGGGGGTGTGCAGATGTGGTCCTAAGGTGCAGAGCCTCTGGCTGTATCCTGGGTGTACTTGTTGGGGCCGCTTCTCCTGAGTTGATGTGTAGGCCGAGGCATGTGGTCTTGTGCTTTACTTTCCATTTGAGCTGATAAACCAACTTGAGTTTGCTCAGAGCTGGTTTTCAATGTTTGTTTGGAATTCTAATTGGCTGGTGAGTCTGTGGGGAGAAGTACAAAAAGTTCTCGGTTTGTTTGGGTGGTCTTCTCCCTTTTGCATGTTGCAGGCAGGGTGTCACCAGGCGTGTTTCGAATTGCTTTAAATGTGTGTTCACTGCTGCCCAAGTAATTTTCTTTTTTGGAAATTGAAATCTCCCATCTTTTTGGTTTGCTGTTGTCATTTCCCCCAGATGTGTCTCTGGAGAATGTAAGAACCGAATGGTTAATGTTTTTGATTTTGTGTGGATGGGGAACAGTGGTGGAAGGGGAGATGTTCTACGAGATAATATAGATTGGTTTCTGATTTCAAAAAAATGTTTTAAAAACTTGCAGATATCAAATAGATTTCTAATCGCTGGTGAACTATATTTTCTTGGTGTTAATCAGTTGGCAAAAAAAGTAATTGCATGTCTGACTTGTTGTGAAAAACGTTTGCTGTGCCAGTACTGCTTGTTTTGTCTGAGTGAAGTTAAAGAGAGCAGAGAAAATTTTAATGTGTTCAACGAGACTGTGACAAGCTAGGGGATTTTGGGTGTTTCTTGGTGTTTTTTGTGTGTCCTCTTGATGTGATGGGAAAGTCTGAGGCGATAAGAGACTTTCTGGTAAGTGTGTTGTTACCCTGTTAAAGTTAGTCATTTTGTCCACTCTTAATATGCTTTTCTAAAAAATTAAAAGTTGGCTGGTATGTTTACTCACGTTGGGTACCTGACTAATTCACAGGAGTGAAGAGTTGGTTTGGATGTCAGCAGGTTTACTGTTCATTAGTGAATATAACATGTTGGCTCCAAACTTTTTCAGCGATGCACTGCGAATATGTGTGGGAGTCCATGGGTTGCATCTTCCATCAGAGTCTTCTGGCTACTGTCTCTCGTTCTCTGGAACACGAGTTTCATTTATTGTAGCAAGTTTTACTTGTGAGGTGTCTCAAAGAAAATGCATATCCTAACTGCTATGGCTTCAGACTCATTTAAGTGTTTCAATTTTTTTGTTTTTAAATCCTTGGCTTTTTTGTTTGTTTGAAATCTGAAATTATTGGAGATTTAATGAATGCAGAAAAAGGCTATACAGTATTGTGAAGTTCATGCATGAGATTATCTGGCAAAAGATTATTCTTTGAAGAAGCAAGTTTCATTGTACATCATGTGGTCAAGACCTGGAGCCAAGACTTTTTTTGGAGAGCGATTCAGTTGCCTTTCCTTCTTAGTGGTGGCCCCAGACCTCATACCTACCTTTGTCACATTTGCTTCCATTTGCTATACCTGTTTTCTGCTAATGTCTCTCACTTTTTCCTGGGCATTGACATGAAACTTGTCAGGCTCTGAAGTTCAAAGCCAGCTGAGCCAATGAGCCTTCAGAGTTGTCGTTGACGAATAGACAAATCTGTTACCTCTTTGGGGGATGAAGTATGTCTTGATGGTTGCTTCACTAAAACCGTCTCTCCCCCCCCCCATGTTACAGTGATGGTCAATATGCCTCTGCTTGCTCCAGAGGAGAAACATACAAATGCAGAAGGAAGCCATGGAAAATAGTTTCCATCTGTCAATCATGAATAGCTGGAATACTGGTGGCCTTGCTTGTGGGGGTGGGGGACACAAAACCAGCTGGGGGAAAGATTCCCTCTAATGATTTTCTGTGAAGTACAAGGAGAAAAGCCATAAAACAGGCTTCCAAAACTGCTTCTCCATATGGTCATCTGTAGATGCAAGGTAGCTCTTCCAGGTGACTGGACGTGGAAGCTCTGGTGGTGGTTGAAAACTGAGAGTTGGTTTTTCTTTCAAAATGGCTAATGCGTGTAGATGAACTAGTACCATTTAGGCCTTTCTAGCAAGACTGTCATAAGGTAGTGACCTAGATAAAACACCCCACTGTCAAGACAAGCACCTTCATTATTCCTTTTTAGCTAGTGTGATGGAGGGGCTTTGGATTGGGGAGGACAAATTTTGGTGTCTGCACAAGCCACCTTGTCTCTTGGGTGTTTAATCTTTGAATCCTTTCAGTCCATGCCTGTTCTCTCTGCTCCTTCATCAGCCTTCCTTTAACCTGGAGCAAGAGTGAACATCTTCATTTTGGTTGAAGTCTTATTTCATTTTAGACATTCCTTCCCTGGTGGACTGTATTGAGGGCTACTAATTGGTGTCTCATCTGGACCAGATCTGTTCAGTTTAAAGCAAGGCTGCCACACTTTCAGACTTGTCCTGGGACCAAAGTAATGTATGGGGAGGTTCTGTAGCACCACACAAAGTATGCTAACTATTCATCCTGTGACTTTTGACTAGAGAGTGATGCTCTTGCAATTGGCAAGTAAGAAAAAAAAGTTCCTGCCAACACAGAATCATTTTGCCCAATGACATAATCCCTTGGTGGCAGTTTCTCTATGTCAGGGGTCAGCAACCTTCTTCAGCGTGGGCCGGTCCGCTGTCCCTCAGACCATGTGGTGGGCTGGACTATAGTTTGGGGGGGAAATGAACGAATTCCTATGCCCCACAAATAACCCAGAGATGCATTTTAAATAAAAGGACACATTCTATTCATTTAAAAGCACGCTGATTCCTGGTCCGTCCACAGGCCAGATTGAGAAGGCGATTGGGCCGCATCCGGCCCATGGGCCTTAGGTTGCCTACCCCTGCTCTATGTAGATGCTGCTTCTGTTTAGTGTTTCAACGTTAGGATAGTTATTATTCCCATTTTAAAGATGAAAGCATTGACTCTTACAGAGCAGTTTGCATAAAGATGTCCCGCTGAGTTCAAAGGTTGAAGTTGTGTTCGTGATTCAGCTAATGTTATTGTGTGCTAGCACACCTAGTCTGCTTCACTTGCATGCAGACACACACCTCTGGTGTGGTTATGGGTTCCAACTGGGGCTGGGTGGATGTAGGTTCCAATCTCCCCATGGCACTTCCTGCCATGGTGCCCTTCCAAGCGCAGCCCAGACCTAGACCTCATTCTGTTCCCTGGAGCCACAGGGTGACCTTGGACCCAGTCACTTTTTCTCAGCCTACCCTACCTTGCAAGGTTGTGAAGATAAAATGGGGCATGGCCTTGTGTGGTTCCCTGACATCTTTGGCAGAATAGTGGGATAAAAATGCAAGCAGTATAACCTCTTTGCCTTAAAGTCTGCCTCATAATGTATGAACCAACCCAGGCACCTCCTTTGTGAGTTCTCTCCAAAAGGAGCTGTGGAGGGTGTCAACCCAGTCAGTTGTGCAGGATACAAATAATAAAGTTGTTGTTGTTGTTATTAACACGAGAGTGGGCTTCTTCAGTGGTGGCTCCCCATTTGCAATCTCCATCTCTGGTTAGGGATCAGGCCAGGAACATTCCCATTTTCCCTGGCTCATTGGTTTTTAATTGGGAGGGGATCTTGATATGTCGGCAGCCCTTAATTGTGCTCAACCTTTGGGTTGTATGGGCTCTTGTCCCTTTTAGTTTTTTAGTTCTTGTTTGCTGCTTTTTAAAAAAAATCTGATTTTAATGCCTTGGTTTCGTTTTTACTGTGCAAGTAGTCTTAGGCACGCTTGAATGCAAAAACGTGACTGATGGATATCATTAAGAATAATAAATAAGCAATATTTGCTAGGTATGATAAGCGTGGACACATTTCCCTGAGTGGTTCATGGGTTGTGCAGAAACTGGGAAATTTGTGTGGGCAAGTAGCCTGGTGCGGAAGTGACCCTCTTAATCCACACGACAGTGCCTTTGTGAGCACTGTGTGCTTGCAGCTCACCTCTATCAACATTCAAGAGAGCACCTTCACTTGCAGCATCTTGGGTTTTTAATTGGCTCATCAGAATAAATAGGATAAGCAGAATTCGCTTGTTTCCTTTCATGTGTTGAGCGGGGGAAGAGTGTCTGCCGTACTCAAGGTGCTTTCAGAAGCCAAAGTGGCAATCTGTGTTTGTGTAAGATGTGCGTAGGTTTTCTTCGTCTTTTTAAATTCCAGTAACAAAGCAAAGCAAAAATCACCAGGGACACACCAGTGGGTTTTTCCTTACCAAGGAGCGATTGGTGCTTCTGAGTGTGGGAATTGCCAGCCAGGCTTCTGATGTTAACATTAGTAAAGGGGATTACCAAGACCAAAATCTCTTAAGCTAACATATGCCCAATTTACGTCATAGTCCACAATTTTGTTTCTTAAAAAAAGAGAGACTTGGTGGGGCTCATATTGACAATGTAGAGATGTTTTCCTGCTATCCCTCTTAGCAAAAAAAGTTAGCCACGTTTCTCAGCAATAAGCAAGCCTTGTTCCACCTTAGAGACGAGTAAATTTATTGCATTTGCATTATGGGCCTGCGGTCCATTTTATATAGGATGCATGATTTATTTTGGTGTGCAGGTCAAAAGCAAATACGTACGTACACAAAAGTTTAGACTCCAAAGAAAGCTGAGAAATGGACCAATGTGTTTGTGTGGGGGGAGGTCCCCATTCCAATCCTTGGCATCTCCAGCTAAAGTGTCTCCAATCTGCTGGTGATTGAAAAGGCCTCTCACTCCCTGCCTGGGACCCATGGAGAGCTGCTGCTGGCCAGAGTAGACAACACTAGCCTAAGTGGATAAAGACCCTCCTTTGGTATAATAAGGCAACTTCCTAAACTCTTGATAATGAATACTTGTAGACAGAGCAGAGAAGCTGAAGTCTCTAGCGCTCCTTTTTAAGTGGGTCTTCCCCCATAATTTTCTTTGGCAGCTGAGCTTGAATGGCTGTGCACATGGCAGTCTTTCGTGCTGTGTTCTAATCTTGTTTCTGTGCACCACTTTTTAAAAGTTTGCTTCTAAGAACCAGCGATTAGGAAAACAGAGGAGCTGTATGGCTTGGGTTTCCCCTCTGTAAGTTCTAAATTGCTCTGTATGTGTGTGTTGAGATGGATATTTGTGGTGTTGTAAGGATGGAAGGTACGTTCTATTTTATCTCAAGTACAGTATTGGGAATTTCCCTTGTCTCTGCAAAGTTACCACAGTAACCTTTAATGTTCTTGAAAGTACAGTGTTGTGTGCATTCCTTTTCACACAGCTATTCACCCTAGCAGATTTGAGAAATCCAGAGTCTTATAATTTGCTCAGGCTTCCTTGGGAGTTTACAGTATTTATCCTTCCCTCCCGGTGCTTTCAACCAACAGAGGTGACTAGACAATTAGGAACCAGAATCAAAGTGTAATCTTAAGTCTTGGTTCACTACATTGCGACACAGTTCATCCCACTCAAAGACTGCAGCCTTAAAACCTTTAATTTGTGTAAGGTCCTGGCAGTTTGGCCGTGCATGTGTGAATGCTTAGACAACTGCTCAACATACAAGTAATTGGGGAGAGGGGGCCATTCTAGAGACATTGACATGCATATCACATACATACCTGCAAAGAAGGAGTTTTGAGTGAATGGAGTTTCATGCAGCTAACTTTAACTGGCTTCTGCACACCTGTGTGTGCCTACCTGACATTCATCAGTGATCATCTCTTCTAAAAGATGGGAATGGCAAGACCTGAACTTGTCCATTCTAAATATATGTTCCTCACACCATGAAAGTAATTATCCTCCCAAATAACAGTGATCATGTCAGAGCTGGTTGGACAAAATGCAGTTTTATAGTGTTTGGTGCCTTGGGAAAAAGCTATCCTCTGGGATTTCCACTTTGCAGGGAAGATTCTAGGCACTGGGACTAAGAAACTTGTCAAAAACCGAGAGAGAGAGCTTGCTTGCAGAGTCTGTGGGAAAGGAATTAAATTATAGAGGGGAAACTTGCAGAAAAGAACAGTTAATGGCAGTGGGAGGAGTGAACACTGAGGATTTGCTCCAGGGACTTGCTTTTAAATGAAGAAGTAGCCTCCTGGGTTATGTGTAAACCTAAGTAGCCATTTTGAATTGCTGCATTTGAATGACTAGCAATAGGGTTGTGTGCACCTTAACTAGATCGTATGCCAGTTTGCCTTGGGGGCAACATCTTCAACATCTGTATCAGAGATTACCGAGTGAGTGTTGGTATGTAAAATTTAAGAGCTACAAAAAAAACGATTCAGGCAGTACATTTTTGGTACTGCTTTTGGTGATAAGACTTCCTCTAGCTTTACAGCAGAATCCATCAGGCTACATGGCCTAAGCTTAGCAGGAATACAAAGTTTTCCGCCACGCCAACAAGGCGGACCTCTTTCTGAATTATTGCAACTGGCCTCACAGCCATTCTCATAACTTAGACTAGGTGCAATCATGGCGGTTCTGCCTCTCCCCTCCAAAAGTGTAAAAATAGCACTAAAAAAAGGAAGCTTGTCAGAATAATTAATTGGATGTTGGAAGGGAAAGCAGTAAGAGAGCTGTGGAACTGGTATAGCTTTGTACGGTGGTCTCTTGCAGTCAACTCAGCACATTTTAACAAAGCTCCGGATTGTTTTTGTTACAATTAAGTCGGGGAGAGGGTTTGTGTGTGTGTGTGCGTGCCTTGTGATTTGACCACAGGCCCTTGTGCAAACAGCTTTCTCCTTCTGACCGAGTGTTTCCTGCCTCCTCTGCTTTGGGTGATCAGGTTGTCTGTGGGATCCGCGCACTGGTGTCTTCGTACAGCCAGGGTGTTTGGCAGAAATGACCACCACATAAATTAAAAATAAAAATGGAACAGGTCACCAGGGTGCCTGCAATGCTGTGGCCTATGATTTGAGGCAGGGCCGGTCAGCTGTCTCAAGCAACAGTGGTTTCCAGTGAGAGATCACAAGAGTCTTGGGAGATGTTGCCAGCGCTGCTTCGCCATGCAGCCCAGGTAAGGGAGACTTTGGTAGCAGGGCAGGGCGGCCGTTTCTCATTTAGTCTCGGGTGGCAAAACGAGACCCACCACCCCTGATTTGGGGAAGCTGTGTGTCAGAGTGGAGGAGAGCCCCAAGAGTCAGAAATACTGTACTTTTCTCTCCCACCTTGTAGCTAAGGTTCCAAGATACAGACTTGGGAAATAGAATAGGAAAGAAAAATAGCCATGGAAGAAGCATTGTCCATTGGAGATAGGTCTAGAATAGTGGTGCCCCCCATTCCCAGTTTTATCTTCTCAAAAACCCTGCAAAATTTAGCAGAGAGAAGGAGCAAGCATCATGAAGGTTATATGATCATGAAGCTTTTCAGTCCTCATTCAGCGCTTTAATCCAGGGTTGGCTAACCCATGAGCCATATCTCCTTGCAAGAAATTTAGTTTGGGCCACAAGACACCCTAATATTTGTGTTTGTGTGTGTGTGACACTGAACGGTCACCCCCAGGAGTTGAACTTGAGTCAATGCAGCCCTCAGTCCAGAAGAGATTAGCTACCTCAGCTCTGATGCCACTCGCTGCTACTGAATTCGATTTGGAGGGAAGTCTTACAATCGTAACGAACATTTTCAAGGTGAATTTGCTGCTCCTTCAGTAGCACATGCTGCTGCTGGCTAAACAGGTGTTTGTTGAGCCTCAGTAAAGTGCCTAAATTACAAACGGGATGCCTATTTTATTTTCCTAACCTCTGTGAGTCACTGGGCAGGCATACTCCATGACTGGAAGATGCACGGAATGAACATTAACTCGCTCAGAGATGCAGTGGGTGTCCTCCTCGCCGCCTGGGGATGCTGGTTTCAATATGGCATTTATTCATGGCTTGTGGCCTGCTAGCAGTCATCTCATGGTACACAACCTGGTTGCTATGACTAGCAGCTTTATCCGCATTGTGGCTTCCCCCAGAGATTTATGGGAGCTGTAGTTTGTTAAGGGTGCTCAGAGCTGTTGGAAGACCCCTATTCCTCCCAGAAAACTTTCTGAGTTCTACGGTATTCAGAGTGCTTTGATAGACAGTCCCTCTCTCTGCCCAGGGACATCTGGGAGTCTTAGCTGTTTGTGAAGGGAACTGGTGTCTTCTGACAGCTCTGAGTTCCTTCAGCAAACTACAGTTCCCATAATTTTGTGGAGAAGGCCACATTTGCTTAAAGTGGTACAATATTGCTGTGAATGCAGAGTGCAGATGGGGCCAGAGGGTGCTTGGGATGCGATTCAGCGCTAGTGCTAAGTATCACACTGCAATGGTACCTCGGGTTAAGTACTTAATTCATTCCGGAGGTCCGTTCTTAACCTGAAACTGTTCTTAACCTGAAGCACCACTTTAGCTAATGGGGCCTCCCACTGCCGCTGCATCACTGGAGCACGATTTCTGTTCTCATCCTGAAGCATATGTAACCTGAGGTATCACTGTACTTAATCTAGAGCCTGTCCTGTTTCTTTATGGCAGCTGGGAAAGATCAGGACAGGGAAACATGCAGTGAACCTGCATGAGCCGAGTTCTAAGGCCCTTTTGTATATTTCTTCAACTTAGAGTTCGATTAACTTGTGCTTCACTTCCCAAAGAAGAGAAGCTTGTTGGGAAGAGAAGAAATAATAGAAACTTGCTCTTGAAGAGCAGAATTTCACCCAGGTTTAATGGCAAACCCATTGGGTAGGGCAGCATAGGCCTGTAGGTTTTTAAAAACATGTATCCTTCACTCAAGGTGACCTCCAAAGCAGCATGTGCTTTCTTTGTTCCCTTGGAATGTTTGCAGAACCCGTGATCTGTTGAAGCTGCCTCGTACCAAGTCCATTTAGCTCAGTATTGACTAAATTTGACTGGCAGTGGCTTCTGTAATCCAGCATCATCTGGAGGGCAGTTGGTTGGCCAGTCCTGCCATCTGTGCCCTTCCCAGCGCTCTCTGCTGATGCCAGGAATCGCCCCTGGTATCTTCTGCATGCAAAACACATGTTCTAGTCCTTGGGGCCAGTGGTAACATGGCAACCTGGGAAGCTTTGTGTCACTGGGTTTCAGTTTTCACCGAAATATTTCTGTGCACGTTTCATGCATTCTTCTGTGGCTCTGCTCCTATCTGCTAAGCCAGCTGATCTAGTATTGCCACCCACAATACACTCACCACTCCAGCGCTGCAGCCATTGAGTTAACTCTGTCCCTCATGATTGCTGCTGTTTGCCGTCTCCTGTCAGCCCCGGTGGGCATAAGAAGTTGGAGCAGAGCCTGACCGCAGAGCTTTGCAGCAAGCAGCTTCTAAAGGTGGCACAGTGTTCTAAATTAGCCAGGCGCCAGGCGCATTTTGCACCTGGCTATCCACTACTTGCGACCAAGTGAAGATGCCTGGACGCCAGGAAGGTTCCTGACATCTCTACCATCTGGAGGTGCATGCCTCGAAATCACTGGATCTGGACTGTTTTCGCACACAAACAACCCATCCTGTAGAATTCTATCGGTTGTATTTTATCTGCGCAATCAGAATGAATGTCAGGAACCAAAATGCTTTTCCTGTGCAGCAGGAGCAGTGAACAACCTTATAGTTAATTGTTGTAGCTTGCCTTCATTTACCCTCCTCACTGCCCTATTCACAGTTGTGAAGAATATTCTTGCATTATGGATGGTCCATGTCACCATTAAGAAAAAGAGGTCGAAATAGGCCAATATAAATGTGGACTTTCCCTGGATCAAGTGACTTTTCTACTTTAAGTTCTCAAAGCTCTTAACCTAGCTCAAGGTTGTCATCTGAGCTAGCCAGATGTTTAACTGAGAATCAGTCACAGCCAATCCATCCATTTGAAAACTCAGACCTTAGAGCAGTCTTGCCCCAAAATGGCAACTACATATTCTGTTTTGGTGACTGTAACCTTGGTTTAAGGAGGCATTTGGTGCACCGAATGTGGGCAACCCCTTGCTAATGCAAGGCTTCAGCTTAGTGGTAGAACATCTGGTTCACATGCTTGACAGTGCAAGATTCAATCCTTGCCTTCTCCAGCTAGGGCTGGGGAAAAGACTGCATTGCCTGAAACCCTAGAGAGTCTCTTGTCAGTCAAGGTAGGGGGACCCCATGACTTTGTTGAAGACAACTTCCTGAGGTGACACTGTCAGGACTAGCTGCTGGACCACTGTAAGTCCCAGTGGTGGAAAATGGGCTTAGTGCAAATCTAATTATGCAGGGAGTTAGTAATGAGTAAGGATCAAGGTCGGCTGCCCGTATTGGGAATCTATATCTCATCAGCAAGACCTCCTCTTATGGCCTGAACACAGCAAATATCAATGGACATTGTTACATGAGAGTGAGCCATTGAACAGGAGTCTTTTTTTTAACGTTGTAATGAAGTGTAACTCTTCCATAGCGAAGAGCCTCTGCGTTACACAGATAGTGCTAGTTGCAGGGCACTGTCAAGATGTATGTTAATTGCTACTTACCCTATAGCTAGAAGAGGAGGTTGCCCAGTGATGTGAGCACTGCCTTTATTCCATTCCTTGAAACATGCGCATCACCCTGGATAACTCCTGATGCTGTCACACATTCCTTTCTAGCTTCCCATCATGGCAAGCAAGAAGCATTGTTGGAGTTCAGTGACACATTCCAGCCATGCAAAAACAGTTGTGGGGGTGTTGCAAAGAAAGTCCAGTAAGAGTCCACAGACCCAAAAAGGCCTAGAGGGACACATTTGGCCCCTGGGATTGAAGTTTCCTATCCCAGCTCAAGAAAGGATGCTTTATCCCATCTCTGAGTGCCTCCAGGATTTTCAAAAATTTAACCACCCGAAGCAATTGTGTGTGAAAGACAGGTCGGTTTAGTGATGCTTATTGGAAGATACCACACTGAAGTCTTCATCTAAAGAGAGTCAGCTTCCAGTACCCCATCATACTCATAACATGATCAAGGAATGGAGCCCATGTTGGGGCTATGCAGGTGACGAGGGCAAGGCTTTTTAAATGGGGAGCTGTGAGGTCCTAGTGAGGTTTACATGTGACCTCTTCCCTTCATGCCTTGATGTGGGAGATTAAGAACTTGAACATGGCCTTGTGGGCACTGTTGAAAGTGCAGGTGAACATTGCCCCATCTTACCAGCGACACTCAGTGGCTTGGTCCTTACTGACAGGTAATCCGTAGGTGCTATGTGTGCAATGAAAGGGTGCAAGAGCCCTGGTGAATCTGATGGAAGACTTCTCCATTCGAGCATCTTGTCTCCCATGGTGGCCAATCAGATGCCTATGGGAAGTCTGTCGGCAGGGCACAACAGCAATAAGTCTTGTGTTGTTCCCTAGCAACTAATTTTCAGAAGTCTCTGATACTGGAGGTAGAGTACAGTCCTGTAGCAACTGATAGCTTTGTCATGCCCCATGAATTCCTTTAATCTCCTCTGTAAGGACAACTAGGATGGTGACCCTCACATCTTGTGGCTCCAGATTCCATAGTTTGGTAACCGTGTGCTTTGTCTGCAAGAATACCTAAATGTGCGCACCCTGTTCTTCAAAATGACGAGCATTTTTGCTAGTTAATTTTTATAAGCCCTCCTTGTTTGTTCTACTGACTGGCTGCTGAAAACTTGATGAGTCTTCCTGGTGTACTACTAAAGAGATATAATTGCGATAATGGCCCCTGCTGAATACTGCAGTATATTGTGGCTTGTTCAGAGAAGCCTACAGAAAAAAAAGGATAAAGTTGGCTCAGTTTTAAATTCAGTCACTTTAACTATTCATAATTAGGATGGTGAAGAATCTGCTTCTGAGTTTCGCTTAGTATTCTTGGCTTTGCTTGCCTAGTTGTGTGCACTCTTGAAAGAAGCAATTCCATTGGCAACTGGACTGGAAGCAAGTAACAATTGCTTCCTAGTGAGAGGCTTGCCAAGTCTTCTTTGGAGATTGCACCAATATGTAGATTCATGGAGTACTGTGGAGAACATAGCATAGGAACATAGCAAGCTGCCATTGGTCTATCTAGCTCAGTATTGTCCACCTTGGCTGGCAGTGTGGTTCTCCTGTTCTCCTCTTCTTTTTTCAATGTACCAGTGTTTAGGCCAGTGTTTAGTTCTCCAGCTATTTTTGAACTACAATTCTCACCATCTATGTCCACTGGTCCTGCTAGCTAGGGGAGTTGTAGTCCAGAAGCAGCTGGAGACCCAAGTTTGGGGAACACTGGTTTAGGCTGTCTGGGACTGCTTCATGACTTTATAAGAGTTAAAAATGCAGCTTTCAGGACTTTATGGTTTAGGCAAAAGGAGAGTAAGAGGTGATGCGAGACAGGTTCCTAAAATTATACATGGCATGGAGAAAGGTGTATGGAAGTTTTTTCAACTCCCAACGTGAGAACTTGGCAGACATCCAATGAATCTGCAGGTTGGAAGATTTGGGGCAGATAAAAGAAAGGACTTTTTTGCATAGTTAAAACTATGGAACTTGCTCACACAGAAAGCAGCGGTGGCCACCAACTTGGATGGCTCCAAAAGAGGATCAAACCATTTCATGGAGGAGAATGCTGTCTGTGGCTGTGAGCCAATGGTTCCTGCAGGGATCTGGTTGTCTGGCGCTGCACTGCATAGGCCATTTGCCTGATCCAACATGCTGCTCTTAATGTTCTTATGTATTGTCCTATGCACTACATTTAAGTGACAAGTCACAACATCATGTAAGCAGCGTTCAAAATTCACCAGGTGCCAGACACATTTTGCACATGGGTATCAGCCAATTGCATCCAAGTGAAGATGCCCAGGTGCCAGGATGGTGCCTGACGTCTCTACCATCTCGAGGTGCACGCTTAGGGATCCTAGGATCTTGACTGTTTTCACACACTAACAACACATCCTGTAGAATTCTGTCTGTTATATTTTATCTGCACAGTCAAAATGAATTTCAGGAACCAAAAAAGTTGTGTTGAAAAATAAGACTTTAGAGCCGTCTGGTCCTCACATGGCAACCAAGAATTCTGCTTTGGCGATTGTAACCCTGGTTTAAGGAGCCATTTGGCACCTAGCTTATATATCTGAGTTTCTAACACTGCCTGTAAGTGTACGTTTGTTACATATTGTATGGTTTTGGTTTTTTTAAGGGCTAAAGTAGCAGGTGCTGGGAAAAGATTTTGGACCACTTTTGTGATGCCCCTATACTATCAGTTGCTAACAATTCACTCTAATCTCCTGTGTTCCTTCATTAACAAACCTGTCCAAGGCAGCCTTCCCTTCTGTCATTCCCTGAAGGGAACCTCTTTAGAGTACTGGCCCTCAGTTGCAAGCAAGCATGATTGCATACGTCTCTTGAATTCCTGCTGTCAGTCCACCCTGTTCCTATTTTGTACTGTGTCCTAATTGTAATAGTGCCAGACATGGGCACAAATCTTAAGTCACTATAAATTACATTTGAATGCCAATGGCAAAAAAACCCCATTGCTGTTTCTCAGTTGTTGATTATTCTTTACCATGATCTTTTAGCAGCGTGCTTCCCTGTTTAATCTTCCAAAGGGTCATGTTCATGATTTGCTACATTGCTTGTGCTGTATAAATTTGTTGGTATATGTTTGTACATTGCTGGTGAGCAATGAAGTCTTATTTTTAAAATTCCTTAACACAATAGGCACAGCCCATGCCTCAGTGTTCTGTGGTCAGTAACACCTGTTCCCCCTTGTAATTGCATGTTAATGTTCCTAGTTTATCATAGTCTAATGTATAAATGAGTTTTTTTTATCTAGGTGAAATGGTTTTTGTAGTGGAACTGTTTTCTTTTTCTTTTTCTTTTAGTAGCAGAACATGAGAACATTTTTAGCAGTGCCTCCTTGCACAGAATGAGCCAGAACACTGGTTGACTGGGAATACTCTATCTCTTGGGAGAACACCAGATCATTGTCTTAAACACAAACAAAAAAAATATTCCGTGAGCAGACTTGCAATCCACACTTACAGTTCATTTTTTTTTCTCTCTCTCTTGCAAAGTTATTCTAGGCTATTGTTAAAATCAGACTTCTCTCCTGGATGTTTATAAAAGACCTAGATGCTATTTTTGCAACTGTGACCCAGCTTGCATGTAATGCTAAGCCATGGTTTCTCAAGCAAGTGTTTGGAGAGAAGGTCATGGCCATTGTACTTGTTCCCTTGTCCTGCTGCTGCCACTCTGCCCAGGGCTAAACTGTGGTTTGGCTTGTGTTGCTTCAAACTCTGACTCATGGTTTGCCTTGGTCCAGACAAACTATGACCTGTGAATCAAAGTGTGTTTTTGGCTCACCAGTCTCTATTTATAGCAGGGATGAGAAATCTGTGGCTTTGCCAATTTTGTTGGACTCCAGTTCCTATCAACTATAACCAGCATGTCCACTGGGCAGGGATGATTGGAATGGCACAACACTACATTTTAAAGCTTCAAAACACAATCTCAGCATCACTGCTTTTGTTTGGGGGGGGGGAGGTGTTTTGAGGAGAGGAAGGAAACATTCAAATTGCAGTGCACTTAAGCAGAGCTTTTTGAACAGTGTGGTTTACCAGGACTTGGTTTGAGACAATCAAATGGAAACGGGCTTGGCTAGAGTAAAAGTTGCATTAGTGAGGTTGCAACTTTAGAACAGGGGTCAGCAAACTTTTTCAGCAGGGGGCCGGTCCACTGTCCCTCAGACCCTGTGGGGGGCTGGACTATATTTTGAAAAAAAATATGAACGAATTCCTATGCCCCACAAATAACCCAGAAATGCATTTTAAATAAAAGCACACATTCTACTCATGTAAAAACACGCTGATTCCCCAACTGTCCACGGGCCAGATTTAGAAGGCAATTGGGCTGGATCCGGCCCCCGGGCCTTAGTTTGCCTACCCATGTGTTATGGTGGGGATCGCAATGATTTCCAGAGATGCTGGCTGCGAAACAGGAATTTACCGTAAAGCTCGGGGATTTGCTTTACATGCAGAATGTCTCAGTTCAATTTCCAGCATCCCAAGGTGGAGCTAGGAGAGATTCCCTGCCTGAAATCCTGGAGAGCTGTGGCAAGATGAGCTAGATGGACCAACGGTCTGACTATGCGTAAGTCAGCTTGTTATATTCCTACATGTAATGGTAGGGAGTTCCAAAGGGTAGCTACCATCACACTAATGGTCCGCTTCTGACTTTGTGCACAATGGTCTTTATTGGAAGTTGGCCCCTGCATGTTACCCTCTCCTGCAGAACAGTGACTGGCTAGGTATATAAAGGATGAGACTATTTTTTCAGCAATATTCCCACTTTGCACAGTGTGTGTGTCTATGTATGTATGCATGCATGGGAACAGAGTATTGCTTGCACAATAATTGCACATTTGAGTTGTGAACATTGATCCCATTGGGCTCATGCCCAGTGTTTTGTCCCAAAGCTGGAAGTCTCAAGAGCTTTACTTTACTTAAAAAAAATATATAGACAGCCCAGTGCTATCCTTATGCCTATAATCCAGTGTTGGCTCCTGAAAATGGAATTGTTAGGGCCACTTCTACTGGGCCGTTTCTGATATGGAGACACGGTGGTCTCCCTTCTCCTGATTTGTTAGAGGGCATAGAAGTTCCATTCTCACCCAGCTATTTGTTAAAGCTTGAGTAGTTCTATCTTTGCCCTCCCCCCCCCCTTCTTATAAAAATGATGAGCTAAAATAAGACCCTTTACTTTCTTCAGCTGTTGGTGCCTTTGAAGGCAGACAGCTAAGCCTTGGCTAATGTGGTGTCTTTGACTTGGGAATCGACTGTGGCTTTAGTCTGAATGCCTAATAGGGGAAGGCAAACGCCCTTTAAATAGCCACCCCCTCCCCAGCCTCGTCCAAAGCACATGCCCACCACCACGGTAATTGAAGGGGAAGATTGAAAGATGCTACAGAGTCAAAGAGATGGCTTATGGAATCAGTCAGACTTGGTATGAAATAATTATGGTGTTTTGACAGCCTGTTAATAACTCACAGCCATTGGAAGAAATATAATTGCAGCGTTGTGAGTTTCCTGGCGTTTTCTGTCAGATTTGTAAAATTAAATAAAGGCTGTTGAAATCCATTAAAAATAGTTGGGACATTGTGTCTTGGAGATGATGGGCCACTTAATTTCCCCCCCTTTTTAACCTTCCCATTCCGATTCAGGTTCACGGCATTTTATTCTGGGGCTGTTTTGAACATTTGTTAAAAGCCGTTGGGTCTTTCAGTTCAATCTTTGGAAATCTGTAGCTTCCAGGGGGGGTTGCCTGGAGGTGGCCGAGAAGCTTGTCTAAGGGAATGCAGTGGACGTTAATCCTCTCGCACGTAATGTAAGAGAAGAACCTTGTCACCTGTAATGATTAAAATCCCCTGAAGTGTTGCCAGCATGTACTTTAGGAATTGTATAATTATATGATTATTGAAAGAGACATAAAAGGAAATCATGGCGCAGAGAGGGAGGGGGGACCCAAAGGGGGGGAAAGTTCAAATGTATAAAGAGGAGCTCAGGATTTTGCCTGCGCTTTCCGATTACTTTGTGCAGTGTCTAATAACAAAGAGGAATAAAAGGAGGTTAGTCCAATAATTGCTTTGTATCAACATCCATTTAATAAAAATTGTGGAGGCAGCGGGGGCGGGAGGAAATGGTGAGCTGATAACACAAGAGTTCCAGTGGTGACGACTTCTCATCGAACCGAGTGCAGGGTGATGCCTTTCTGGGGCAAAAGTGAGTGGAGGAAAGAATGTGAATTTTGCATAGTAGGCTAGTTTCTACACATGCTCAAACATTCCCTTCTCTGTCCTTTGTGTGGGCAGGCAGGAGACATTCTCAGAGTTTAAGAACCCATTTGAGCCAGGAGGAAACACTTGGGGTGCAAAGCAGGGATGCTGGATGTATGTGGCTTGGGGAGACTGCCAAAGGCCTTTGGATCTGCCCACCTCACCCTTCACAGAACAAACTTCCTATTAATGCAAGTCACAGTGGTGGCAGAGAAATAGTTGCAAATGGAGTAGTATGGTTTCTGATTCTTTTTGAAACCCTCAGGATGCCAGCTGTCAGTGTAGAAAGGTGTTTTAATAACTACTTGGCCATCCTTCTGATGCTCATTTTTTGGCTAATGGGTGGTGCCAGGGTGGTGCACCTTTGTTTTGTGGTTAGCGGCAGAGCATCCTTCCACTCCCATGGGCAATGTTGGGGCAAGATGTACGTGAATGGGATAGCAAAAACTTGAGCTGTAGCTTTTTCTGGTCCAAATTGCCCACATCTGTCTTGAGAAAAGGAGAACAGAAAGTTAATTAACACTTTTCTCTTTTGATTCTCTTGTCTGCCTTTCTGCCGTAACCTTGAGCAAGGATTTTTAATTTGCTGTTTGCTTTTATCTAGCTGTGAATAGCATGCCACAATGCATACAGACGTGACAGAATGAGAGCATTGCCCCCCGCCTCTTTACAGAGCAAAAAGTTGGGTTAGTTGTGAGCAGAAACTGACTTCCTGTTCAGCCACATGTGTGTGGTGTTGATTAGAGCACATGGTCACTGGTTTTTTGTGGTTAGAATAGAATAGAATCATAGAATCATAGAGTTGGAAGAGACCACAAGGGCCATCGAGTCCAACCCCCTGCCAAGCAGGAAACACCATCAGAGCACTCCTGACATATGGTTGTCAAGCCTCTGCTTAAAGACCTCCAAAGAAGGAGACTCCACCACATTCCTTGGCAGCAAATTCCACTGTCGAACAGCTCTTACTGTCAGGAAGTTCTTCCTAATGTTTAGGTGGAATCTTCTTTCTTGTAGTTTGGATCCATTGCTCTGTGTCCGCTTCTCTGGAGCAGCAGAAAACAACCATTCTCCCTCCTCTATGTGACATCCTTTTATATATTTAAACATAGCTATCATATCACCCCTTAACCTCCTCTTCTCCAGGCTAAACATGCCCAGCTCCCTTAGCTGTTCCTCATAAGGCATCGTTTCCAGGCCTTTGACCATTTTGGTTGCCCTCCTCTGGACACGTTCCAGTTTGTCAGTGTCCTTCTTGAACTGTGGTGCCCAGAACTGGACACAGTACTGGGCACCACAGTTCTGCCCAGTTACGATTTAAACACTCAGGGTGCACTAGGACATTAGGAATATCATTTCAGTTTTCCTGATTTTAATGTTAGCTCTTCTGTCCTGTTTTCTAATTCCCCTTTCACTCTGCAGCACCTGTTACATTGTGGAACTGTGGCTTTTTGTCTAATGTGCCAGCATGTCACGCTATATTTCATTCACACCAGTGGCTGTGGTGTGACACAGCAGTGAACATCATTGGGCAATATTGCTGCCCCCCCCCACCATTTCTGCACATGTGTGTTTCTGTTCCCCCATGAAAATTGCAGGAAGGAATTCTACCCAAATCTCATCTCTTAACCCCTGAGATTTTCTGGGTTATAAGGGGGCTGCAAGCAATTTTTTTCCTGGAATCAAGTAACACGGACACGAACCATATTCCACCTGTTTTCCAGAAGTGGCTTCTACATCAGGTGAAAGATAAAATGCAATGTGGGTTTTAATCGACAGGGAAATGGAATGTGGTGTGAATGCAGCCTCGATGGGTCCAACAAATGGCAACTGGAAGTGGCTCATTGGGTAGGCAGTGTTTGTAATTAGCCAGGCGTGTTTTGTGACTGACATAGGTCCAGTTGTGGCCACGTGGAGATCCTCCCACTTTTGCCTCTGGTGCCACCCAACATTGGAATGTGGTCAACAGGAGGTTGCCCAGAATGGAGTGTGAAAAAGGCTCCCTACCTCTGCTCTACACTGACTGGCAGCTTTCCAAGTTTTCAGACATTCTCCCTTCCCAACACTATGTGGCAGCGCATGGAGTGCAAAGCAAGTGTAGCTCCGCTACTGAGCTTATGGCATCTATGACTTCCCCAAAATGGGAAGTCTGGAAACGGCCAGGAGAAGCTGGCTGCATGTTCTGTTTGTCATTGTGTCCTCGGCTAATGTAATTAGGCACCTGCAATTGGATTATTGGGCTTGTTTAATGGCCTGCGCAGGTATCCCTCAACGGTGCGCGCTCATCGTCTGCTCTTTACCTTGATGTACCCACTGGTGTGTTTACTGTTGCCAATTAGCATAGTTATTTTTAGAGAGTGTTGAGGCAGCTTTTGCAACTGGTATCAGCTAGGGACTGAACGCAACAGTTTTTGTTTTTTCTTATAATTATTTAGGAGTGCAGAGAAGAGTTTGGTGTTGTTGTTTTTAAAATCGCATGATTGCTGTTGAAGCCTTGAACTTGGAGAAGAGTAATTTTGGTTTGAAGAGCTTCCACTTGTCAGCAGTAGGACATACAAGTAAGCCTTTCTAGTTTGTGTTCTTTGGGAGGTCTTGTCCATCTCCTTCCCGGCTGCCCTTGTTATAACATTGGTGGTATATTGTGAGGTCATACCATGACTCTGGTGAACTGGGTGGGGAAGAGAGACTTCAGCACATCCTTCAACTGTTTGAGGTTCACCAGCCCCAGGGCACAAGTGGTTTTTCTCCATTGCTGCACCAAGCCTGTAGAACTTGCTGGCGCAGCAGATATGTTTGGCCACATCTCCACTGCCTCTCAGATATTTGGGTCTCAAGCTGTTTGGGGCTTTAAAGCTCTCATGAGCATCTTGAATTGGGCCAGGATACAAACTGCACCCTAGGCAGCTGCCTAGTTGTCCCAGTGATAGCACTGGCCCTCATCCCACCCCCAAAATAGCAACAGTTTGGAAGCACACTGAATGAACTTGTATTTGCAATAGAAGACAACTCCCCCCTCTATTTAACTAGAACTGTTAAAGGACCTTTATCTCTTGGAGAAGAGACTGAAATCAGAGAGACTTTTTTAACGTAAAAATCGTATAGGGCTAGAGGGTTTTTTTGGGTTGTGGTGGTGGGGAGAAACACTGTTAAGGACAAGTAAAAATATCTATCTAGTTGCAGAACCAAACACATCCCTTGCCTGTACTTGCACAGCCTCAATTTAGCATGCTCAAGACTCTCGTGACCCACCCAGATCTGTAAATAGTCCTTAAGAAATTTAGTTTGAGCCCCAACTGCAGTGCTTTATGATAGGCATCCCGCTGCCAAGAAAAAGATTTGGCCGAGTATTATTAGCAATGAAGGTATTTAAACCATCAGCAATTCTGATCCTGATGCTCAATACAAATACAAATTTCAAAAATTTCAAATGGAAACTGGCTGTGGTAGGCATTAACCTTGACGCAGACACCAGGGCTGATGCTGAAAACTATTTGGGGTTGGCATCTGAGAGCTGTAGCCTCGGCGACTTCCAGTGGCAGTCCTGCCGCTGTTGCAAGTTTCTCCTGAGAAAGATATTTGAGCCAACAGCTTCAGGAATGAGGAGCCTGGAGGATATGAAATTGTGCTGTGAGATTTCATTCGTGCTGCTGTCGCAACAGGCTCACAGCAACCTGGCTGGAAGCTTTTAAGACTGTGGAGCAGAATTTTAACTGCTCTGAAAGCTACCTGTGCGTCTCCAGTGCGTTTTTCAGAGTTCTTGTCTGGCGGGCTTGCAGCACCTTGATGCCTCGTGTTCTCCAGTTCTCTTGTGTTCAGCCACTGAGACGAGCTGGGAAGCCTCAACAGCAGAAGGAAGGAGGAGTGCATTGAGAGGCAACCGATAGTGTCTGCTAGTGCTTAAAAACCGTGTGATCTGTCACCATTGCTGGGTAATTCCCAAAGTTCTCATGAACAGAGGTGTGTTGACAGTCAGGAGCAAGCTGCTTTTAATACAAGAGTAGGTATATATTTGGATCCATTACTGCTCATGCTGGGGGTGTCTGTCTCTGGTAGCAGGTCCTGTCTTGGGGGACGCTCCACAGGGGCAGGCTTTGCACCCCGAGTGAGGACAAAATTTAGTGTCCTCAAAATGAGTAAGGTAAAGGTAAAGGGAGCCCTGACTATTAGGTCCAGTCATGGCCGACTCTGGGGTTGCAGCGCTCATCTCGCTTTATTGGCTGAGGGAGCCGGTGTACAGCTTCCGGGCCATGTGGCCAGCATGACTAAGCTGCTTCTGGCGAACCAGAGCAGCACACGGAAACACCGTTTACCTTCCTGCCGGAGCAGTACCTGTTTATCTACTTGCACTTTGACGTGCTTTTGAACTGCTAGGTTGGCAGGAGCAGGGACCGAGCAATGGGAGCTCACCCCGTCGTGGGGATTTGAACCACTGACCTTCTGATCGGCAAGTCCTAGGCTCTGTGGTTTAACCCACAGTGCCACCCGCGTCCCTCAAAATGAGTAGGTACCAATATAAATATAGGATTATTGCTATTTTGTCCTCCCTCGGCTTGGTGTCCTGTGCACCACCCTTCAAATCTGGTGTTCCATTGTGTGTTTTTGACAACATAACTTGTGCATTTGTGGTGGATTTATTCTGCTTTCTCAGTTGTCCTGCGCCATTTCCCAGTTCTGCCAAATTATTTCTCTCTTTTTTAAAAAAGATATTTATTAAAAGTTTAACAATTACAGAAAAAGAGAAAAAAAGAAAACAGTAAAAAATTACAATACATTACATCAAAAGAAAATAAAAACCAGATTAGAAAGGAAACAATGCAGCACAACAATAAAAACAAAAAAAGCAAAAACATTTAAAAACAAAAAACATTTAAAAACACATCCAATATTCCTTATCTTTACCTTTCATTTACCTGTTTCATCGACCTCCTCACACCTCCCTTTTTGTATTCTAGTTCAGTTAACTATTTCAGCAAATTCTTTCCATCTTTCTCAATTTTTGTTCTATAATTTATCTTAACAGTCTAACCTTTAATTTTTCCATTTTTACCCATTATCAATCAACTTTTACTTAAATCTTTATTACATTTCTGTTAAAACCATATAGCTTCATTCCAACATCCTTCTAACGTGCCAAATTATTTCTCAGGAAGTGGAAGGGAAAGGGAAAACAACACCCACACCAGAATATTGGTGGTATGAAAAGTTACAGGAAGGATGTGAATTGGTCAGAAATGAAGCTGAGTGACCTTCCCAAAATGCCTGCATGGCACAAACAGTATTGGGAGCGGTAGGGGGTAGCCCAAGGTGTTTTGGCCCTTGAGCCCGGACCCCAAGGAAAAAGGAGTGTGGGAAGAGCTACATCAGGGGGAATGGGGGCAAAGGAAGATCGGGATCTGCTGCCCCAGTGGATCCTGCCGCCCGAGACAATTGCCTCACCTGGCCTGGAAACCAAGATTGCATATGACTGGCCCGATAGTATCAGGAGTACGAGTAATAAATACACAAAAAAGGATGTATGGAAGAGCCCTTGATGTGCCAAGAAGAGCAGAATTCACCTCCTGCAATTCTTCACGAGAGTTGTAGTAAATTTCTTGGAAAGAGAAAAGTAAAGGACGAATGCAACGGGGAAGGAGACCATTAAAGCAACGGATTTTGAAAGTGGTGGTGGTGGTTTTATTACAGCTTTGAGGGAAGGAGATTTCTTGGCCACCTTTGAGCCTAAGGCCCCCCCCCATTTTAACAAGCTTGCTGATGGAATCACTGCAAATTAAAAACAGTGATGTTGGTTTTTCCCTGTACACTTGGCTGCCTGTGGTTGTTTTGAGATTTTTCCAGCCTCCATTTGACAGTATTAGTTGTTTTTGCTCTTGCAGATCACTTGAAGGGGAAGAGTTTCTCCCCCTCCCTCACGCCACATATTCAGTGTGGAATTTCTGCAAGGTTTGGGGGGCAGGTTTGCTGCTTTTGTACTCCATGAGATTCAGGGTCCATTTCTGTAGAATGAAATGGTTAGGTGAGCTCAAGACAAGTTGACTGTCCAGTTTACCAGGGTGTGTTGGGGCCTCCAAGCGGAACACATCCTGAACTGAGATGGGCTGCACTAGTAAAATCCCCAGTGCTTTGAGAGCTAGGGTGTAGGCAGTGGTTTCCAAACTTGTTTCGAAGAGGGCCAGATTTGATGAAATGAAGGGCTGCGAGGGCTGCCCAAAGGGCCAACCAAGGTTCTTGACCATTTTTTAGGATTGAAGTTGTCGAGGTTTTTTGAAGTGTTTTTTTTTTGGGGGGGGATTTTACCCCAGGAAATAAATGGCCGCAGGGGCCGGATTAAACCCACCAGCGGTCTGGATTAGGCCCCCGAAATGGACTTTGGACATGCCTGGTGTAGTGGATAGGAGGTGGGATCACGACTAGGGAGATCTAGGTTCAAATTCCTCCTCAGGCTTGAGACGAGGGGACTTTGGCCCAGTCACAGTCTCTTAGCCTAACCCAGAAGTTTTCAACGTTTTTGAGCCCATGGCTCCCTTGACGACATTCTTTCTGTGGCATCCCTCTGGGACTCAGGAGCCCAGTTACGTCACCCCTTGCCTGCAGAGCCAGCAGCCCCTCACCCCTTTTTGAACACCTCCCTTGTGGCGTGTTCCCTCAGCCTCCTCTCCTTGGGAGTCCTCTGGGCAGCCACAACCACAGCCGCTGCCCCTGGTCTCTGAGCTGCCTTCCCTGCCCCAAAGAGAGGTGCTTCGTCACAACTGCCCCACAGGGGCCTGGGAAGCACCAATTGGCCAGTTCCAAAGACACCATTCACCAGGGGAGCTTGTAGCCAGGGCTGCTGCAACAAACAGCTATGCAAGCTTTTGGGAGGCAGAGACGTGAGAGGGCATCAGAGGAGGGAGGGAATGGCCATCATTCAAGGCACCCCAGGGTGCCACGGCACACTGGTTGAAAACAAACGGCTTAACCTATGTCACAGGGTTGTTGTGAGGATAAAATGCACCAAGCCTCCATTATGCCCTTCCCTCTCTTGTCTTTTGCCTAATCTAAACAGACCCAAAGTTGTAACCTCCTCCCACGTTTCTTAAGAACTTGAGGAAAGCATGCAGACCTCCAAACAACTGTAATTAAATGCATGCTTGAGATCACTGTTGCAAGCTTTTGTTCCCAATACCTGCCTTGCTCTGCTCTTCGCACGCAGGGCGAGAGTGTGAATTGGTACCGCCCACAGACACCTCGGATGCTGACCTTGTCAGCATTTGCTTCTGGGTGTTGTGTGCGCAGTAAAGAGGGCTGCCACAAGAGATTACCACATCTGGGCAGAATGCATTTTTAATCCAAGCGTGTCTGTGCCAAATCTGGCAACGCAGCTGCATTCATCGGGTGACACAGAAAGGGAAACAGAACAGCTGGAGGCTCGCCAAGGTCTCGGGGAGGGGGGAAAACAAGTAGGAGGCTTGAGCTTTGATGATGCGAGGCAGGGTTTAACCCCAGAGCCTGCTGACTTATTTCCGAGCAAGCTCGCTGAAGGTTTACGGTACTCTCCCCAATACAAGGCCCACTCCAGATTCAGAGATTCAGCACCGCTGGCAGTCTTTGCAGTCCCGGTGCTCAGACTTTGCTAGATGTCAGATGCAGTAGTGCTCTTGAATGTGCGCACCGTGTTTTCCCTGAGCTGTGTTAGCCAGACCTTAATAGGTGGTTGAGCATGGATAACCAGGCATTTTCCTGTAATTGAGGCCTCTGAGAACTTGTACAAAACAGCTTATCATGGGCACAGGGAACCCCAGGAGTCCTAATTCCTAGAAGCTGTTTCTGGAGGATTCCCCCTCCGAGTGGCTGATGGAGAAAAAGGGAAGCTCTTCCTTTTCACCTCATTTAAAACCCTTTTTTGAACCTGCATTTTTTATGTACTTATTTTGCGCACCTACAGACTCTTGCTGCCTCGTCTGTGCTAATACACTCATGGTCGGGGGAATTAAGGATCTTGGGAAGCTGCCTTTGTACCAAACCATAGCTGTCAACTTACAGATTTGAAAATAAGGGACCAGCAGCCAAAATAAGGGATTTTCAGAGCACAGGTATGTTCAACTTCTGAGCCCCTCTGAGCCAAAGGCAGAAAGCCCAGCCAGCAGCCAAACGAAGCCTCAAGCAGTGGTTCCCACAGCGCAGCAACCCAGCAAAGGGGATGCAGCAAGGAAAACCACCGTCACCTCTCTGCTGGGAAGCGCTGAGCAAAGGCAAGTCCCCAGGCAATGCGGCCGATTTGATCGGCACAAGGCATGCAGGCTCCACCGCCCAGTCGTTCTTAGACTCCTTATTGGGTGAGCAACACAGCCAAGCAACACAGTTGGAGCCTCCCTCCTCCCTGGCCAGCAGGGAGGGAGGGAGGGAGAGGAGCTGCTTCCTTTGAAATTTAAGGGACATCCTCAATAAGGGACAGCAGCGGGACACGGCACTGGGATAAGGGACTTTCCCACCAAATAAGGGACAGTTGACAGCTATGTACCAAACCAGACCATTGGTCCATCTAGCTGAGCATTGCCTGCTCTGACTGGCAGAAGCTCTTTAGCAATTGATGGGGTCTCTCCCAGAGCTACCTGGATATGCCAGAGATTGGACTTGCAGGTAAAGAAGATGCTCTACTACTGAGCTACAGCCCCTTCCTGTTAATAGGGATCCCTGAGCTTCAGAGAGTAGCAGAATCCTCTCTGCATCTTTTCCAGAAGCAGAAAAACTAAGGGGGCCTCCCCTTTCTCAGTGGAGCAGTGATGGAGGATATGTGCCCCTCCAGATGCTGCTGGACTCCAGCTCCCCTTAGCCCCAGCCAGCATGGCCAATGGCAGGGGATGATGGGAGGTGTAGTTTGACAGCCTATGCAGGGCTGCAGGTTCCTTGCCGTAGATGGACATAGGAGGACAAGGCAGTGAGGGCAAGATCTCACCTGGTCTGCCAGAGGCAGGTTTCAGAGTGTGTGTGTCTGTGTCAGTGTAAGGAACTCAGATATCTAAGCTTAATCATCAAATGGCACCTTAAACCTAGGTTGTGGTCGTCACAATGGAATGTCTAGGTGCCATTGATTATTGTTTTTGAGGTGGAATTTATTATCATTGTGATTACTATTACGATTTATGATGATTATTTATTCATTTCTTTTCTATACCGCTTTATATTTTAAAGAATAAACAAGTCAGAGCAGTTTATAATGCATTAATACATCAAATAAAACAATCCAGACTATAACAAAATCAAGCTTCAAGGGAAACGTTTCAGATCCTCCTCTAAGTGACATTTTGTTTTCCCCATATTTATTTACCTACTTAATTTATATAGCTGCCCCATAGCAGACGTAATCTAGGAAGCCATTGTGGTGGTGTGGTTAGAGTGTCAGACTAGGACCTGGGAGATCAGGGTTCAAATCCCCACTCAGTCATGAAGCTCACTGGGTGACCTTGGGCCAATCACAGCCTGTTAACTGACCTCACGGGGTCATTGTAGGAATTAATTGGGGGTGTGGTGTGTGAAAATGCTGAAAAATGCTGAAAAAGAGGTGGGTTGAACCATGTACTCCTTGCAGGAAAAGGTGAGCGATAAATGCAGGAAACAAGCTCTTCTGCTAACCTGCTTAAGAAAGCTGGAGGGGCCCGACAGATGGAGATGTCAGTTGTCAACCTGGCACCCAGAGATCTCCACGTGGTCACAGTTGGACCCGCGCCAGTTGCAAAACATGCATGGCACCTTGGGAATTTTGAACTCCATGTTTAAATTTGTAAACACCAAGTGAGATCTAGTGGTTACAGTGCATGCTATGTAAGCTTTTCAGTGGGACCACGGCGTGTTCTTCTGTAAGAACAGAGTTGGTCACATTGATCTGGTTTCGTTTTAAGGTTGCCCAGGAGTCTAAGATTTCATTTCTTGGTTGGTGTTAGCTGTCATAATGAGCTGATTCCACAAGACCTAAGGCTACTTTTAGAAAAGACTAATAGCTGCCACTATATGAAGACTTGACTATCTCTTGTTGGCATTGCAATGGGTTTGACCCTAGATTTGTTGATTTAGTTAGACTAGAATTTCTTATGTCTTTTTTTGTTTTGCTTTTTAAACAGATCTGAATGATACTGATCTGAATGATAGATATTGTATTAATGGATATGTCAAATGAGATGTATTCAGAACTCCTTCCTGAATAGGGGAAGCTTTATTTGAAGCTAAGTTGCAATGTAACAGTTAATTGCTCAGGTATAACAAGCACTAGAGAAATAAAGATATTTGCTTTTAATTAGTGAACATGGTTAATGAATTAATTGGTTAAACTGTTAAGTTGAATTTTTATCCCAAAACTACTGTGGCTTAGATAAATCAGTGGTAGTTAATTACCGTACTTTTCGCACCATAACACTCACTTTTTTCCTCCTAGAAAGTAAGGGGAAATGTCTGTGCGTGTTATGGAGCGAATGCCTACGGATGGCGGGGGGATCCTCTGCAGTCGTGAGCAGAGGATCCATGGTTCCCGTTCCCCTTCCTTCCCTCCTCCGTGGCTCACTTTGAAACAGCAAAGCGGGAGAAGAGCCGCTGAGTGGGGAGGAGGGAGAGAAGCAGAGCCTGCTTGCTTCAAAGTAGCAATGCGGGAGAGGAGAGTGTAAGCGGCTCCTGTCCGGTTGGCTCCTTTAAAGCAACCATGTCCCTCTCTCCTCCCCACTCAGCTCGCTAAATAGCAGCGAGGTTTTTCAGATCTTCAGATCGCTAAGTGCTAAGCCGGGGAGGTGGGAGAGAAGCAGAGCCTGCTTGCTTCAAAGGAGCAAAGCGGGAGAGGAGAGGAGCCTTCTCCTCTTATACCCCTCTTCTGCATTATTAGCAGCATCCCTCTCCACACACCCCACGCGTGTTCCTTCTCCCCTTAAACCCCTCTTCTGCATTATTAGCAGCATCCTTCTCCACACACCCCATGCGTGTTTCTTCTCCTCTTATACCCCTCTTCTGCATTATTAGCAGCATCCCTCTCCACACACCCCACGCGTGTTCCTTCTCCCCTTATACCCCTCTTCTGCATTATTAGCAGCATCCTTCTCCACACACCTCACACATACTCCTTGGCCCTTGAGTGCTTTTCCTTCCCTCCCCACCTACACCTAAAACGTGGTTACAAAGCACGGATCCACATGGATCCTCAGGATTTTTGCACTAGGTCACCCCAAATTCACCATCAGATCACATAGCATGTTCATGGCTATAGCTTGCACCAAAAAAAGCACGCACCCACTGTTGCCTGGGGCCGCAGTGGTGCAAAAATGTGCTTACAAAGCATGGATCCACATGGATCCTCAGGATTTTTGCATTGGGCTACCCCAAACTCACCGTCAGATCACATGTCTGTGGCCACAGCATGAACCACAAAAATCATACATCCACTGTTTTGTTTAGATTTTTTTTTTCTTATTTTCCTCCTCTAAAAACTATGTGCGTGTTATGGTCGGGTGCGTGTTATAGAGCGAAAAATACGGTAATTTTACTCAAGTTGTGTGTATGGGCTGAGATTTGGCTGGCTTTGATTTGTAAGAAATTGTGGTTCAGATGGTCTTAATGAGTACTGGGGGTTAGCTGGTATAATCTTCATAATTTAAACAAGTTGAAAATGCAGTAACATAAAAAATTGCGTTTTATTGGAGCCCATGGCCATGAGTGCCAGAAGTATAAAGAACTAGAAACTAAATATAACAGAGAGAAGGAATAACACTAAGCTAAAGGAAATTCAGAATGTTATGGTAACTAAGCTAAACTAATGTAAGAGATGATTAAATCTGTAGTGAGGTAACAGGGAAAACTGCTTAAATGTCCAGCCACTCCAGAGGAGAATGTAGATGTTATGGACAAAGGCTGTTAAAAGTTAACATTAAATTAAAAGCTAGTAGGTTGGTTTCAGTAAAGATGGGCAAATTAAACAAGGAGTTTACTATCAGATTTTGAGTGTGAAGAAGTATAGTGGTGCCTTGGTTCCCAAATGACTTAGTTGTCGAACAAATCAGTTCCCGAACACCGCAAACCTGGAAGTAAGTGTTGCAGTTTGCGAACATTTTTCGGAAGCCAAACGTCCAATGCGGCTTCCAGTTGAGTTCAGGAAGTTCCTGCAGCCAATCAGAAGCTGTGCCTTGGTTTTTGGATGGT